GATATGATAGACGAAGGAGTGATGATGAGATGGATGAGGAGGAGGATGATGCATGAGGATGAGGAGGGGGATTGATGAAGGCATGAGGAGGATGATGAGGAGGATGAGGAGGATGATGAGGATGAGGATGAGAGAGGATGATGAGGAGGATGATGGATGAGTGATAGGAGGATGATGAGGAGGATGATGAAGATGATGTAATGATGATGAGGAGATGGATGATGGATGATGGATGATGATGATGATGATGATTGATGATTGAGAGAGGAGGAGCGATGATGAGGAGGATGAGGAGGAGGAGATGATGAGATGAGGATGATGGAGAGTGATGAGGAGGATGAGGTGAGGCTGATTGAGATGAGATGAATGATTGATAGCGAGGATGAATGAGGAGGGAAGAGCGAGCTGAAGAAAACCGGTCACGAGAAAACGACTGATGCTGGAAAACAGGTAGAGATGGAAAAACTTTACAGCAACGGGCGATGATGATGATGATGATGATGATGATGATGAATGATGATGATGATGATGATGATGAGGAGGAGGAGGATGATGACGATGAGGAGGAGGAGGATGATGACGATGACGAGGAGGATGATGATGAGGATGAGGAGGAGGATGATGATGAGGATGAGGAGGATGAGGAGGAGGATGATGATGAGGATGAGGAGGATGATGAGGATGAGGATGAGGAGGATGATGAGGAGGAGGAGGAGGAGGAGGAGGATGATGATGATGATGATGATGATATGATGATGAGGAGGATGATAAAGATGATGATATGATGATGAGGATGATGATGAGGAGGATGATGAGGATGATGACTTGTTTTTTCTCGTTCAGGTGAAGGCTCAGGTGGAGCTGAGGAAGACTCCGGTGTCTGAGGCGAAGAAGACGCCTGTCACTCAAACTCAAACCACCTGCTCCTCCCAGTTCATCCCCATCCATCATCCTGGAGCCTTCCCTCCACTGCCCAGCCGACCTGGTACACACACACACACACACACACACACACACGCTCTGCTGGTGCTAGCACTGCTAACGTTAGCCACATTAGCCAAACCAATAGATAGTTTAGTAAACAGTGACATCACATCTTCAACACAACTCTAAACTCATTCTAAGCTTTACCCCAAAACCAGATCCAAACCCTAAACAGCTGTTCCCACCTTCCAGATGTGTCCTCCCTTTCAGAAAGTGTCTCTGTTTACACAGCAGCTTTTCCTGAAGTGTCTTGTTGTCCAGCAGTGACTGTGTGTTGTGATTTTGTAGTGAGGTCTGGGACATGTGACACTCTGACATGAGGGGGACGTAGACAGTGTCTCAGTGAAGACGTCCAGAGAAGGACTGCAGTCAGTTTAAATCCTGCTCCTGATTGGTTCCTCCGCAGGTTTCCCCACCTCGGCCTACGTGATCCCTCCTCCGGTGGCGTTCCCGGGGCTCCAGGTGAATCCGGGCTTCACCTTCTCCACCGGCGTGTCCGTCCCCGGACCCTTCCTGCAGCAGGCGGTCCACACCCAGGCCGGCACGCAGGTCCAGGCCGGGAAGCAATCCCACATTCCCTACAGTCAGCAGAGGCCCTCTGGGCCGGGTCCGGGTCAGGGGCCGGGCTCCTCGGGACAGGGCCCGGGCCCCATGAACCAGGGCCCCTCCCAGGGACAGCAGCCCCAGGCCCAGCCGCCGTCCCAGCAGGCCTTGCAGCAGTCGGTCCAGCTGCAGGTGCAGGCAATGAGCCAGCAGCAGCAGTCTCCCACCAAACCGGTCCAGCAGGTCGGGATGGGGAAGAGTCCACCTCACCACCCGGGACTACAGCAGGTCAGGTCACATGATCCTCATCAGGTGTCTCACCTCTGATCAGGAATATTTTTGTCATGGTCGTCAGAGACCCCTCCTCCATCATCGTTAGCAGGTATAAGCAGGGCAAACCTGCGAATAAAAGCAGTTTGACTCCTTTTCCTCCGTTAGTGGAGTTTGTCTTTCTGTTCAGACTGAGGACACACACACCTGCAAGGAGTGATGTCATCACTCTGCTTACAGAGCACACACAGGCACAAGGGGAGAGTGAGCTGTTAGCCGCCGTGCTAACTGGTGAAACTGATGTGTCAGCTTCTAATGAGACGCTTCCATCAGTGAGTGTGTGTTTGTAAAACTTATGTCAGGGCTGCAGCTTCACTCTTTCATCCTGAGCTCAGTGAAGGTTTAACAGCACCGTGCTGGACAGGTGACAGGAGACAGGTGACAGGAGACAGGAGACAGGTGTGTCTACAGTGTCTGTGTCTCTGAAAGACGTTACAGCAGGAAAACAGGCTAAAATGAACCAGTTCACCTGGGTGTTCACATGAGTTTAGATTGGAGCTGATAAACACCTGCGTCTGCAGGGTCAGGTGACCTGCGTGTGAATGCTGATTGAACCCTTTTCCTTCGCTGACAAAAGCCTGATGTGAGCAGGTCTCTGACCAGTGGAAAAGGGGCTAGAGTGGAAATCTTACAACAACAACCACCTGCTCTTTAGTGGAACATGTGGATTATCTTTCTGCCCCGTCATGTCGGGGGTCTCTGAGGTCTGTGTTGTAAATGTAAACGTTGACCTCTGCCCTCTAGTGATGACAGATTTCTGCAGCAGAGACTGATGCTTTACTCTGGTTGTGTCTCAGCAGTATATGCAGGTCCAGGACCAGCCGGCTCAGATGTGGAACCAGGCCCAGGCGGCCCTGCAGAAGATGAATCCCATGCAGATGTCAATGAAGCAGCAGCAGCCGCCGCAGCAGCAGCCGCCGGCCTTCTACATGGCGCCTCAGGATCCTCTCAAACTGTACGAGCACCAGCTGCAGCCGCCCTCACAGCTCAGCATGGACAAGAAGATCAAGTACCCCGACGTCAAGATGCAGGACTTCTACTGGGAGCCGTCCTACAGGATGGGCGACGGTCTGGCCGTGATGGCGGACAGGATGAAGAGGCCCCCGCCGGGTGGGATCTGCTCGGAGCAGGATGCCTCTGCCGGGCCCCGGGGGCCCCCGTTTGAGGTGAGCGGCTCTCTGGGGGACCGTAAGGGGGGAGGAGCTGGTCCTGTCCTGCTGCTTTCTGTCTCTGTGCTGCTTGCATCTCTTCCTCTGCTTAGTTTTTTTCCTGAGTTGTCTCTTTTCTGATTGGACAGTTTCCTGCAGCAGTAAAAGAAGACAGGTCCAGTCAGAGGTTCTAGTTCATAAAGTTTGACGTTTTAACTCTCCTGGTCTGGACAGAAACTGAATTATAACCTTGTAGAGCTGGAGCTTCTTACAGATTAGAAAAGAGTGACAGTTTAAAGCAGAAATATAAACCAGGGTTCCTGGTCTGGACCTGGACCTGGACCTGGTCTGGATTACAGCAGAGTGTCTGCAGCCAGAAAAGACAGACGTGTTCACAGAGGTGAAGAAGTTTGTTGAAGGAGAAGTGACGGTCTGGTGTTACATTCATGTCACACGTTCCATACCTCGAGCCCTTGGAACTATAAGGTTCGACCTCGGCGACCTCAACGTGTTCTGCAGGTCAGACGGGTTGTTCTGTAGGTGGAACCTCGTAGTCCTGAGAACTTAGAAAACATGATGATTGTCAAACAGCTGAGTCATGATTCGCTTTACAACATGACCTCACAGTCTGAGAGAGTTAAAGTGATGCGTTCTGTCACATCTTGTTTTATGAGGAATCTTTTTCTCTTATTCCAGTAAAGCATTGCAGGTATGAACATGAGATACATGAACCTTCAGCTTGAGTTTGCTTTAGGTTAGACAGCAGGTCAGTGTAACGGCAGGATTAGCTTTTGTTTCTTATTTTTTTGGATTATTTTGGGGGAGAAAAGGAAGAAAAAAAAAGATGAATGAATGAAATTAGTGTTTATTGTGCAATTAAGACCCCGGCAATTAAAATTTAGACTATTTAATTACCTGTAAGGCATTAGCTGGCTAGTGTGCTTGCGTGCTAACAATTAAAATAAACTCCTCAGCAAGATTTAAAACATCTGCACTGACACCTCTTATTCCTATGTCTGTGTTGTTTTCCCGCTCTCACTGGACAGTGCGGCGCCATGAAGCTGATTGGTCGTCTTGTTTGTATTCTAACTGCTGATTTGCTCAGAAGTAGAATCTGATAAAAGAGTTCGACTTTGGAGATAAAAAACCCCAAAACTTCTCACATAATATTAATGTGTCGTCAGGGAACAGAAACACGTGAATGACCTTGTAACTTGGGGCGGTTTACAGATGCAGGGCGGAGAGAGAAAGTGTTTGAGTGGAGCGGAGGATGTTATTGATCAGTGCAGGAGGGAAATCGTCAGAAAGCAGCTGATGTGTCTGAACTTCTCTCCATGAGATGATGTTGAATGTCGAGCTGTGCGTCCTGTGTGATGTTGAACCTGCTCTGATCTGTTTCCAGCTGCTTTGTAGCTTTCAGCACAACTTTCCTTCTTCACCTCTCTTACCGGCTTGCCTTCTTTCTTTTTCTCTTCTTTTTTTTACCCCCCCCCCCTTTCTCCTGTCCTCCTCCTCCTCCTCCTTCTTCTTCTTCTTCTTCTTCTTCTGGCTTCCTCTCTCATTAGGACAACAAGAGCTCGCCTCTTCTACCTCCTGACCTGTTAAAAACTCTAGCAGATTTTGAGGAGGAGGAGGAGCTCATCTTTACTAAGCCTCCTGATTTCTTCCAGGCCTTGGCCGGCCCTCTTAGCACTGCTCCTGGACCAAACATATTTGTATGTAGCCCTGTCTTCCTCATCCACCCCCACCCCCCCCGCTGCATCCAGTCCTGTCCTAAAGCCACACTCTGCTCATCAGTTTCCATCTCCACTTTAGTCTCGTACACCTGCTGACGTTAGTTGTGATGTATGATCATGTGACCTGATGTCACAGACCAGAAAACAACCCGAGATCTCAAATGTAGAAAAACAGTCTGAAAGTCCAACGAGAAGGGTTGCCCCGATTGATCGGCCAATTTTCATTAAAGATACGTGATCAGTAGATCAGTTAATGCTTCTAGTCACCGATCACCTTCAAACACTCTGAGAGAAGCGCTGTGTAGTGTAGCCCCGCCTCCCTCCGACAGGCCGCCAAATCAAAACATGTCGGCCGTGTGTGAGACTGATAGAACGTACGCCGTCTGCAATGCACGGCAAAATGATCGGGATTGGCCGATCCCACTCATAGTTGATCGTGTCGGCGACGTCCCTGCCAACAAGTATCTCCTCTGAGCCGAGGTCGAGCAGCTTCAGGTTCTGAGACACAGTCAGGATTTAACTTCAGGCTGTGGCTTTATTCAAAACAGACGAAATGATCAAAGACTTTGACCCTGACGCCTCAGACACAGTCAGTGTTTCTCTGACGGTCCTCTCAGCAGCACGCCAGAGAAACACTGAGGCTCTGATCTCTTTTTAAAACTTTAATATTTAATGTCTCAAAAACATTTCAAACCAGTTAGTTTTATTCATGTCCTGATCGCCGCTGTCTGTCCGTCCTCATCCCGTCTGTCCTCCGTCTCTGCAGCTGCCGAATCAGACCAGGATGGAGAGCGGCCCTGAGGTCGTCAGCCAATCATCTTCTCTGCTGCCCATGCCCGGCTTCCCCATGCAGGTCAGACCAAACAGTCACCCACTACACGGCCAAAAGTGTGTGGACGGCTGAACGCTGCAGCCGCGTGCGATAGTAGGAAACCATGTGAATCCAAAACAGTGGAGACGATGTCACGTTGCATTGTGGGAAATGTAGGATCTGGTGTTTGTTGTGGAGTTTGATCCTGACTCTGGACTGAAAGACAGATTAAAAATACAATGATCCAAATGTGTGCAGCTGTTGTTTCTCCAGCAGGGGGCAGAACAGATGTTTATTTACAGTCTGGATCAGGTGAACATTTAGTTCCTGATTTATTTACTAACTGACTCAGAAGATTCATCAGCTGTTGATGTTAATCAATATCAAGTGATGTATCCAGGACCTGAGGTTACAGTTGTAATGTGTCTTCAGTCTGTGATCAGTAACCCTGAACCGATCCGATCAATGGGCTCCCGATCGATCAGAGCTGTAACGTCTGTGTTTGTCGTCATGTGTTCAGGAGTACAACCAGAACAGCATCTTCAGTCAGGCCTACGGCAAGAACCTGCCGCCCAGCTCCAAGCCCGACGCTCCCATGGTGCACCAGGAGCCGTCCCTCTACTCCCTCTTTGAAGGGACTCCCTGGTCCCCCTCGCTCCCCGCCAGCTCAGGTACGTCTCACCTGTAAGGACATAGAGTAAATCTCCTCACCGTACTCTCTGTAACCTGTCTCTGATGGAAGCCGTGCTCTGATTGGCAGACCACTCCACCCCGGCCAGCCAATCCCCTCACTCCTCCAACCCCAGCAGCCTGCCCTCCTCCCCCCCAACACACAACCACGGAGCCATGCCCTTCTCTAACTTCGGGCCCATCGGCACTCCGGACAGCCGGGACCGCAGGGTAGTGGACCGCTGGAAGGCCGACAAGACCGGTGAGGCTGGGACAGGGACCAGAGGGTCGGACAGGGACCAGAGGGCGGGACAGGGTCCAGAGGGTCCAGAGGGTCCAGAGGGAGCAGAGGGAGGGACAGGGTCCAGAGGGAGGGACAGACTGGGACAGGGTCCAGATTTAGTTACTTAACTTCAGATCATCAGACAGTGAATAATAGTTTCCAGTCAGAACCACAGCTGGACACTGAGCCCTGACCTGTTGTTGTTGTTGTTGTTGTTGTTGTTGTTTAGGTCAGGTGAGCGGGTTCGGTCTGGACTACCTGCCGGCTGCAGCCTCCTCTGCAGCTTCAGACACCAGCTGGCACCAGACCGGACCGACCGGCAGCTCCTGGACCAATCAGGAGTCTCCGATGGAGGAGTCGTCGTCCACTGTGCTGCTCGACAGCCTCAAGGTCGGAACACATCCTGCAGACTTTGTCTACAGCCGAGCTTCAGTGTCAGTCAGTTCTGACACAGCGACACCGTGTGACCTCAGACTTTTTAAATCTCGTCAGTTTTAGTTTCAGACTTAATTAAATGAAACTCTTTTTATTTTTCATGTCAGCCTCAGTGAGCTGTGTCTGCTGTACCTAATAAACTGCTCCTGGGTCGAAGGTAGACTCAGTCAGAACCAGAGTTTAAACCTTTTCAAACTTACACCATATATATTTATATTATATTTAACTGTCACCTTTCAATAGTAGTGGCACATATCTTCAAATAGATCTTTACCTATTTCTATCTCTTATTTCTATATGTTAATATGAGGACATTTTTATATTTCATCTTTTTATCTTTATAATTTTACTACTTTGTTACATTTCCACTTTAAAGGGAGCAACTGTAACGTAATCTCACTTCCCCCTGGGGATCAATAAAGTATTCTCATTCTGATACACTCAATTACAAAGTTAGAAAGAGTTAATGAAATTATTAATTAGGGCTGCAACTGGCAATTATTGTAATTATTGATTTAATATGATTATTTTTAATAGATATTTTTTTGGTCCAAAGAATTTTTGAAAAATGAAAAAGTAACGACTGAAAATGAAAAGTTTGTTTTATTTGATCATCTGCTCAGTTCACTGAAGCTTTTCAGACAGTTACTGAATAATGTTGATGTGTTTAGTTTCAGCTCAGTTACAAATGAAGGTTAAAGGTGCCGCGTGTCAGTTTCTGCGGTGCTGATGGTATGTTAGGAGCGTGGGCGGGCTAGAGCTAGCTAGTTAGCATGCTAACTTCAGTGGAAGAAGAGAAGTGATAGAAATTGAGGCAGCTGCTTTCCACCTCTGGAGCAGCTCTTGGCGAGTAAAGGAATGACGTTCGTAAGTGAACTCACAACGTTTCTTGTAGTAAACGCTCTTGATGCTAACGTTAGCGAAGTAGCACGTAGATACATGTTAAAGATTTGTTGCTTCTCTCCGTTGACCCGGTGCTCTCTCCTCTGCAGTCCATCTGGTCGAGCTCCATGATGCAGCCGGGCCCGTCGGCGCTGGAGCAGCTCCTCCTGCAGCAGAAGCAGAAGCAGCAGCGAGGTCACGGCGCCATGAACCCGCCTCACTGAACGCAGCCGATGCGGCGCTTTGTGTCCGGACGTCAAAACGACCACCACCAGGAGAAACGGGAGGAAAAAAAAACAGAAGTTTGACGAAGACGAGCTCCAACTAAAATGGAAAATTAAACCGGCGAGAAACGGTGGAGGCTGGGGAGGTGACACGACCCCCCGACGAGGCTGAAACACCACCCCCCACCCCCCTCGGCTGTCGAGGAGCGGTGACTCCCCTCCTGGATCGGAGGGCGCGGGATCTCTTCAACCACGGTGCCACGCGCCACGCCACCGCCGGGTTTCCTTCAACCCGCGGACATCTGAACATTGAGGAACACAACCCCCCCCTCACCACAACTGCCCCCCCTGGTTTTTGGACAGACGCCACATCTCCACGAACTCCTCTCTCATCCGATCTGGAAGAACTTCTTCTTTCTTTGAAACAAAAAAAAATTAAAAAAAAGCAGCGACCTCGCGGACGTCTGCTCGGTCCTGTCGGAGCGCCTGTTTTTAGCGTCTCCGCCGCCGCTGCCGCAGACTGAAGCGGGGGTGTAGCGAGAGAGCGAGGACGGTGTGGTGGTCGGGTTCAGGGGGGGGGTCAGGTGAAGCACTGGGGACAAAACAACAGACTGGACTTTCTGATCTCTCCGTTCATTTTCATAACTGTGGAGGAGGAGGAGGAGGAGGAGGAGGAAGGCTCTCTGTAGCTGATTGGTTGAATGAAGGAAGGACGGACGGTTTGGGTTACAGCTATATAAATATATAAATAAATATATATTGCCATAGTTGGACTTTAAACGGGCCTTGTCTCTTAGCCGTGCTGTGAGAATCAGGAGTGACTCAGGTGTGTGACCTCACCTGGACCGACGCTCGCTCCACGTCCCACCTTTTCTTTTGAGGGAAGAGCCGCGAGGCCCGACGACGGGACGGCGTCACGATGCCAGTAAACGTCACGGGAAAGGAGGAAGTAGAAGGGGGGGGGGCTAAGAACACAAACCCCGTCAGTCTTAGGGATAGTATTATCGTTAGCTTCAGAGACGCAGATATTAACAAAAAAAAAACCTGTATTTTGTGATTTGTTCGTAGCAGTTTTAGCTTCACGCCCTCTGAGGTGAACACAGGTATGTCTATTAGCTTCCTGCTTGAATATTTTCGGGGTTCTCTTCCTCTCCGGCCTCTTCTTCCTGTTACTTCTTTACTTAACGAAGAAAAAAAAAACAAAAGGTGTAAAACCCCTGCTCGCTTACTTAACCTGCATTTACTGTTTCTTTTTGTTCATGTTCTGCCTTTTTACTAGTTTGAAGCAGCTGTCGGCTCTTCTGTGCCTGCTCACTGTCCCTCACTGCTGACTGCTGTAGAGGTTAGCACCGGGCCGCAGACAGACAGGCAGACAGGCAGACAGGCAGACAGACAGGCAGACAGACAGGTGGGTTGTACAGGTAGAATGTTTCCACTATCTTCTCTTCAGTAACCACTACTCGCCTGCAGCTCCGCCCTGTACAGCTGATGTTTTAATGGACGTTGCCTGGAGGCTTTTATTTCTCCTCTGACTGAAGCCCAGGAACTCCGGAGCCGCAGGAACCAGAACTCAGGAAGTGAAATCCTCCTGTGGTGCACAGAGATTTACAGTTTTCCCGCCTCTGACGAACCGTGAAAACGAAGCCGTTAAGTTCAAGTTCATTTGTGTCGTAGCTTTACACAAGGTTAACGGTATGTTAATGAATGTGTGGAACAACAAGAACCTGGTGAACTCAGCAATAAAAACAGGCATTAAATGAATCAGAAATAATACAATTAAAATGTAAGATTCAATTAGATGAAAATGATGTAAAAGATCAGATCAGAGTTCTCACACGAACAACAACAGAGCCAGTGTTGTTATTGTTTTATTGTCAGTTGATCTGGTTGTTTTCAATGTGTAACGTTTAGAATATTAGAAAATACTGTGGGGAAGATAATATGATTTTTTAATTATCAATAAGTTAACCACAAGCAGCTCCCACCGGTTTGTATAAGATGTCAGAGGATGACTAATAAAATAAAGGTTTACTGATGAGTCCCAGCAGATTATTGTTTTACAGAAACAAAAACGGTTAAAATATTTTAATTGTTGATTTTCACAGAGTCCAGAGGGACTGAGCGAAGTAAATAAAAATCCATCCATCTATCTGCTGATGGACTAATTGATTAATCCGTTAACTCTCAGTGCTGAGTTTTGTCTGACAGGAGACGGAGTGCTGGTCTTATTTTGAAGTCTTCAGTCCTCCCTGAGACTTCCTTCCTGCCCCATCAGGACTTTTTAGAATGATTTTAAGTCCAGAACTAAATGAAAAGTTGCTGACGAGGTTCCTCGGCTCCGGATCCGGTTCCTGCGGTTGAGACGAGCTGTGAGCGTTTACACGCCGTGAGTCCCGGTAGGTGTAGAGCCAATCAGAGAGCAGCGAGTGACAGCTGACCAATCGCCAGGCTCTGAGGCTTCAGGCTTTAGCGGGACGAGGCGGTTTAGACTGCAGCACTGTAAGTAACTTCCTGTCCGGTTTTCTATCTGAAGTTCTGAGGGATTAAAAAAAGAAAGAAGCCTGTTTTTATTTTCCCACCAGGGCGTTTTATTAAAGCAGACTTCATAGAGACGTGTCTATTTTCCGTGTGATTGTGCTTTTCATGTTGCATTTACAAAATGTATTTGAAAAATAATAAAGATAAAATATTATTGAATGTGAGGACGAATTGGCCAGAAGCATGGAGGAGAGCGTCTGAGCTGGACTGGTTCTGGTTGCCTTTGGGTTTTTCTTTTCCTTTTTTTTTTTTCTTTTCTTTTCTTTTTTTTTTTGAGTAAGAACTAAATGGCGTCGGATCTGGCGATTCCACTCTGATGTGTGGGAGGTGTCGGAGCGGCGGGTCTGAGGTTCTGGTGGCGAAGCTGGTTCAGGTCTGAGCTGTGACTCGGAGGCGTTTTGTGTTTGTCTCTCTGTAGACGTTGAGAACCGGAGGAATCGGCCTTTAAATAAACGTAAACCTTGTTCTCCCTTGACACCGTGTCCACCTTCATTCACCTTGTGTTTTCAGCTTCGGTCTGGATCAGGTGATCAGAGCTTCACTTCATCAGAGGTAATGAGACACAGTCCCACACCGAGCCGCCAACACTGACCACAGCCTTCACTCTACTGTGTTCTATATTTAATCTAAAGCTCCATGTTTCTTCTTCTGTGTTTTATTTGAAGTTGATCCATGAGAAGATATAAAATCCATCTCAGTGTAGTTTCACATCTCTCAGGCTTCTCTCTGCAGCTCTAGTAACAACAGGCTCACTGTTTATTCCCATATATGTTACTATACACAATGTCTCAGTAACACTTCGACTCAAAGGTCAAAGGTCATCGTGACGTCAGAAAACACTTTTTAGCAATTACTCAAGACTTCACAGCAGTTACGAGAACATTTCCCACACATGGTTCATATTTTATGTGACTGGATGAACAGATGTGACCTGGAACTACTCTGAGCAGGAGGTGATTCTAGTTTTGTAAAGCCTTGTTTTTATTTCAGGTAACAAAGATGTTTTTCCACATGTAGTTTTCATTATCTCGTTAGTTTTAACGATAATAACCTTGCAACACACTGAGGTGACGGCACAGGAGAGTCGATATAAATACATCTCCAGCTCTGATGAGCTGTACGGAGGAGCAGTGATATCACAGATAAAGTCATAAAGCATTTCCTTAATTTCATATTTTAATACGCATTAAAAACAGGAATTGTAAAAAGAATTTATAAAAACAGCATAAAACTAATTAAATAAACCATTTATTAATTCATGAATTTATAAAAACTCTTTGAAAAGGGATTTTAAAGCTGGGAACACATTCCTGGTGTTTTTCCTGTTAGCTAATCGATTAGCTTAGTCATTTAGCTTCTCCTTAAAATGCCTTTTCAAATGGTTATTCATGAATTAATAAATGTATTTATAAATGGTTTATCTCATGAGAGTTTTATGCTGTTTTTGTAAATCCATTTTTAAATCTGAAGTATTTGTTGATGAATTAGTTGTTCATTTATAAATTCTTCAGTTTTTGGTGCCATGACTTTTCCTGTGACGTCCCTGCTCCTCCGTAGACCAGCGTCTCCTTTGTAACTGCAGAAAACTAGTTGCTGAGTTTTGTAATCCAAACAGAAACTTTAGACCAGAATTAAAATCTGACAGTTTAATTGACAACAAAATAATTCATGTCTCTTCATGTTGTTGGAATTTAATCAAGTAAATAAATAAAGTGTCAGTGAGAGTTCAGATCTTTAATGAAATGAGAATCGGCTGGTTCATCACATGACGTCACATTTAAACGAGTCTTTATTTAAACCTGTGTCATCAGGTCACGTGACCGTCACCAGAGCGTCACAGACTGTTTTTAGACTGATGTTGAATCCCATCAGATAAGACACCCCCCCCCTCCCCCCCTCTCTTCAAAGAAGCCACAGGGGGTTGATGGGAGAAAACCTCAAGCCACGTTCAGCTGCTGCTCAGCGTCTCCATAGAGAAACAGTTCAACAGTTTTTGTACGACTGTTTTTCACCGTGTCTGGATACGCGCACAGTGACTAAAGTCGGCCTGACGCCTGTACAAGAACCTCTGAGCCGTGATCCAGGTCTAAGACCTCCTCGTACAGAGCAGCTGAGCCCAGTTTCAGGGCCCCCAGCCTCAGAGGAAGCCCCCCCCCACCCCCCGAGTCCTGCACAAAGAACAGCAGCTCTCAGTGGTCCACACATTTATTAGTTTTCACCTCTCTCCAGGTCCAGATACGATTCTCTAACGCCCCTTTTCCACCCAGATGAACCTAGTGCTCGTTCTGGACCGTGCTGGAGTCGTAACTGGTTCTCGTGATCCTTCTAAGAACCAGTTTGCTTTTCCACGGGCTAGAGAGCCACGATAGAGCCACGATAGAGCCACGTCGTGATGTTCATACGTCTCCACTTTCCCAGCAGCGCTCGCTCCAAGCACATAAACAACAATGGTGGAAACTGCAGGAGGCAGTTTGTCTCCTCCACGGACCACCGCTGCTTCATGTTCGTGTCCATCCTGTGTCTTCTTGTTTGTTGTGTGTGATACCGCCCGTATTTTAAAAATGGCTGTCATCAAGTTTTGGTTGGTCTTGTATGACGTGATAACCCCGCCCCCAGCCCCTGGCGTAAACGGTTCTTCGTTCTAGACCAGCAGAGTGTTGGCGCCATCTTGGAACTGGTTTTCCCGGCCGGGGGCCAGTTCTGTGTCTGTCGAAACAGGAAACACTGGTTCCAACTTTGGCACTGGCTCCGAACCAGCCCGACAACCGCCTTGGTGGAAAAGGGGTATTAGAGACCAGCTTGGTGAGGACGTTTTCCCTTTTCAATCAATCAATCAATCAATCAATCAATCAATCAATCAATCAATCAAACTTTATTTGTACAGCACTTTTCATACAGGTTAGTACAGGTCAAAGTTCACAGACGACTGATGAACTGAAAGGAAAGTAAGAAAGCTGACGATGAGAAACAATAAAATAAAGCGACTAATGGCTAAAAACCATATTTGATTAAAAGCTGAAGATACGTTGGAGTTTACGCTGCTCTCAGGTCGTCATGGAGACTGTTCCATCGGCTTGGAGAATTAAAACTAAAAGCTGCCACACCGCAGGTTTGAGTCCTGCACTTCACAATGTCAAACAGACCTGAGGAGCCGGACTTGTTCATATAGTTTAAGCATGTGAGACATACACCAATCAGCCAGAACACCATGACCTCTGACAGGTGAAGTGGGTGGGACATATCAGGCAGCAAATGACCATTGAGTCCTGGGAGTTGATGTGTTGGAAGCAGCAGAATGAACAGCGTAAGGATCTGAGTGACTTTGACAAGACGACGGTGTCAGAGCATCTCAAACCTGCGGTCTTGTTGACTGTTCCCGGCTCGCAGTGGTTAGTACAAGGACAACCAGAGAACTGGCGACAGGGTCATGGGCGCCCAAGGCTCATTGATGTGCGTGGAGAGCGAAGGATCGCCCGTGTTGTCCGATCCCACAGAAGAGCTACTGTTGTACAACCTGCTGAAGAAGTTCACGCTGGTTCTGATAGAAAGGAGTCACAACACACTGCCTCGCAGCTCGTTGCGTACGGACCGGTCCGAGTGACCCCTGACCCCTGTCCACCGCCGACAGCGCCTACAATGGATACGTAAGCCATCAGAACTAGACCACGGACCAATGGCAGAAGGTGGCCTGGTCTGATGAATCGTTTTCTTTTACATCATGTGGACGGCTGGATGCGTGTGCGTCTCTTACCTGCAGAAGAGATGGCACCAGGTGCACTATGGGAAGAAGGCGAGCCGGTGGAGGCAGTGTGATGGTTTGGGCGATGTTCTGCTGGGAAACCTTGAGTTGTGCCGTTCATGTGGATGGTTCTTTGACACGTAGCTCTACCTAAACATCGGCACAGACCAAGTCCACTCCTGCAGATTAGGATTAGATTTAGATACAAGCCCCACATGAGATTCAAAGTGAAGCTCTGAATCAAAGATCACACCAACGTTTTTTACATTTACATTTACCATTAATCATTTATCAGACACTTCTATCCAAAGAGACATAGACCAGACCAGACCAGACCAGTCTGGACTGAGATGGTCTTGTGTGCAGGGATGGTGAGGACAGACCACATTCATTAGAGGAGCATGAGGCTGAACGACTGAGTTGAAGTAGATGGAGCAGACCCAGAAGTCTCTCTGAAGGCAGCGTTAGACTGAATCTGATTCAGGAGGCGGAGGTGGTCGACAGTGGAGGTCGATGAGTTGTGGAGTGACGTGACCTTTTGGGCTGATTGAAAACCAGCTCCAATCATTCCTTTAAACCATCAGCTGTGACTCTGGGCTTCTTTGTTACTGATCATCTGTGTAGATCTGCTGGAGTCGTCTCAGTCTGTTTGACTTTGGACTGATGAAGATATGAACTCTTCTTCATCCTCAGTCTCTGAGATCTTTGTTGTGAGGCCTGGTTCACATCAGCTGATGTTTATAAGTCAAAGTGTCTCTAACCTCCTGACACTTCATGTCATTAGCCGAGGTTCACACACTGTTTCAGCTCCACTGTCAGTGTTTGAATCATGTTTTCAAGCTACAATAAATGGAGTTTGTTCAATATTGTAACTTAGATGAAGATCTGATCAGATTTTAGGACAAACACAGAAATGAAGTAAAGATAATGTAAAGGACAAATCCAAAGGTTCACTGACTTTTTCTGCCTCTGTACGTTGTCTGTGAAGATTTTGCTGATAGGTTCAGCATCAACTTATTTGTACGTGAACTAACAACAGATCCTTACGTTAACTTACGTCTCCTACCAACGTTTTTCTTTAGGTTTCTTTGCTGGTTAGTTGTATATAAATGTCATTTCTAGGTTTGTAAAGGAATGTCCCAAAAATGATTGACTGACTGACTGAGTGAATGATGAAGTTACAACATTGGTCGGCCGAGCGTTGGACTGTTCCCATTGGCCGTTGCTCTTTGAAAACACTTTCTATTACATCATCAGGAGGCGTTTGCAGCTGATCCACAACAGTTTTCAACTACTGTATTTCCTGTAAGACCTGAACTACGAAGCAGGTTCAACAAACCCAGGATAACTGTTAGTTATCTGGTTTAACTGAACCTGACATTGTCCTGATCACCTGTACAATGAAGATGGTTATCACCTGGGTTAACCTGTGCAGGTACGAGCTCGTTCATGTTTCTGCTGCAAAGCTTCATCACTGTCAGCAAAACGATTCCACTGATCAATACAAATATCTACTGATCGTTATTACTGATCACTTTATTTTAACTCTTTTGTCCCCGTCAGGATCCTGTAGGAATCATGACTCAGTGTTTTCAGTGATCTGATTGGTCAGTAGTTTGGCTGTTGACAGGTTTTGATCCAGAGCAGGTGAGGTGTTCAGTATCAGTTACCATGGTGATTTACCTGGTAACAAGAGAACCACCGCCATAGGACTGCAAACCCATAGTGAAACCTGA